TCAATATCCCATGGCTCATTGGAACCCAGTAGCCCAGGATAGCCTTGAATTCTCAATCCTTCTGCCTCTGCCTCCCAAATTGGAGGCATTTACAACCACATCTGGCTTCAGTCTTCTTTTTTTTTTTTTAATGGTGGAAAATAAAATGTATGTTTAAACTTAACCAACTGAACTCCCAAGCCTCATTCATGGTCAGGAGCCAGTTGAACTATTCCCTTCCCCCAGCCAGCCTAGCCAGGGTATTGTCCTTGGCTTCATCAGTGCCGTAGAACTGCTTCATAGCTGTTGGGTCTGGTGCTTGTTTGGGCCTTGACATCCACAGTGAGTGCAGGTGTGTTGTCTCTGTCCTCTTGGCTAACCAGGTGGTCAAGGAAAACTTGGGGTCTAGTGGATGCACTTGCTGCTCTGGGGCATTCTTCTGAGGATGTTTGATGGCCTCTGGAATTGTAGCTTCTTGGGCTGTTGGAAGGTGGGTAACCTGTAAGCCTTTGTTACGGCTGTAGATGCCTCTTCACACCACCTTTGTGGTTTCAAAGCCTTGGCTTTGGGAGGTGCAGGAACAACTGCTGCTTCCCAGTGCCACCCTGGTGATAAGCTTGATTGGGGTGGATATGGATGCATGGATGGATGATTTTGACATCATTGGACTCATGTATTCATGAGTTGTGTGGCTGTTCTCTACAGGTTTAGATGTAGCTGGGGACCCTTAAGAAAATGAATTCTGATTGGTGAATCTGTTGGTATGTGAAATTTTCTTTTAGTTATCTTCCTTGAAAAGTCCTGTCATGAGGGACTGAAGAGCTGGCTCAGTGATTAAGAGTACATGCTTTCACCTCTCAAGGACCCAGGTTCAGTTCCCAGCACCCACCTCATGGCTGACATCTGTAATTCCAGTTCTAAGGGATCTGAAACCCGCTTCTGGGCTCCACCAGCATTGCACACACTTAGCACACTTACATACATGCAGGCCAAACACTCATACCCATATAAATAAATAAATATGTATTTTTTAAATATTTCATTTATTATTTTTATTTTATGTGTATGCGTGTATTGCCTGCATGTAGGTAAGTGCACCAGTGTCGTGTAATGCCTGCGGAAGACAGAAGACACTGTTGGATCTCCTGGAATTGGATTTACGGACAGTTGTTAGCTGCCATGTGGGTACTGGGATTCAAACCCAGGTCTTCTGCAAGAACAGTCAGTGTTCTTAATCTCTGAGCCATCTCTCCACCCCCATAAATAAATATTTTGAATAAAAAACTTACGTAAACTAAGAATTTAAAAAAAAATTTAAAAAAGAAAGATCCTGGCTGGGTGTGCCAGCACACGCCTTTAATCTCAGCACTTGGGAGACAGAGGCCAGACTGGTCTGCATAGCGAGTTACAGGTCAGTTGGGGCTACAGGGAGACCCCTGGTCTCAGACCAACAAAAAGAAAAGAAAAAATCCTGACATGGATGAGTTATAAGCCTGCTTTTATTTCAGCCTATTTTGATTGTCAGGATGGCCTATATTTAGGAATGGCCAGTCTATAAGCCCTTTATTTTTAAAAATATTTTATTATTTTTATTTTATGTAAATGCATGTATTGCCTGCAGGTAGGTAAGTGCACCCATGTTGTGCAGTGCCCGAGGAGGACAGAAGAGGCTGTCGGATCCCCTGGAACTGGAGTTACGGACAGTTGTTAGCTGCCATGTGAGTGCTGGGATACTAACTGGGTCTTGTGCAAGAACAGCCAGTGTTCTTAATGCTGACCCATCTCTCCTGCCCAAGCCCTTTACTTTATAGCCGATTGATTTATGGCAGGTTATAAAGGAGATTGTATGATGCCTGAATCACACTCAAGAGAGTGTCCATATTGTTAGTTTTTTAATAGAATAGCATGTTGCTAGTTTTAACCTTGTTCTAAGAAGTTCATATCAATATTTTTTTGCTTAAATTTTATTCCAGTCTACACTGTTTGTCGTGCTACTAACTGTATTAATTTTTAAAAACAAGATGTCTGGGGCTGGATAGATGGCTCATTGGTTAAGAGTACTGGCTGCTCTTGCAGAAGACTGGGATTCAGTTCCCAGCACCCTCTTCTGACCTCCGAGTAGGCATTGCACAGCATGGGTATACTCACATACATGCAGGTAATGCACTCATACGCATAAAATAAAAAGTAATAAATAAAATTAAAAATGAGACAGCTCAGCAGGTAAAGGTACTTGCCACCAAACCTGATGACCAGAGTTTAATTCCCCAGGCCCCGTGTGATGAATTTAGTCCCACAAGTTACCTGAACTCCATATTTGTGCATGATGGGACACCCACACCCAAATAAATAAATAAATAAATAAATAAATAAATAAATAAATAAATAATGTAATAAAGCATTTTAAAAATGTGTTGTCTTTTGCTTCTACTTCTCAGAATTTGGGTGATAGTGCTTTTGGTGGTTATAAAAGTGAAAATGTGAGAATGAAAAATGATTAATTAATTAATTAATTTATTTATTTAGGTCTTTTTTGGCACAGGCTTTCCCTGTAGCCCCATCTGGCCTGGAACTCACAGTGATCCACCTGCCTCTCAAGTGCTGGGATTACAGGTGCAAGCTACCAGGGCACGCCCAGCCTGAGAAGCATTGTTAGAAAAATTGTTAGCGTTAAAATACAAAAGAAAACTATTAGTTTCTGTAGGCGATATATATGGGAAATTTCTACGCAAAGTTTGAATGAACACACAACAAAATGCAGATGTTGGTTACTTCACCCAAGGATTATGGGATTATGAAGCATGTGGAATAAGGGGATATTTAGTGGGGGGGGGGTTGGTCTTTTTGAAACAGGGTCTCCCTGTAGTCCCAGCTGTCCTGGAACTCACTATGTAGACCAGGCTGGCCTTGAACTCACAGAGATCTGCCTGCCTCTGCCTCCCAAGTGCTGGGACTCGGGCGTGGTTCACCATGCCAGGCGGATATTTAGTTTTTAAAAAGCCAAGAGGAGTAGTTATTTCATTTTTGCATTTTCATTCATATGTCATTGTACTTTGCTCATATTCTCCCCCAACTCAATTCCCCCATCCTTGAAATTCAATTTCTGATAGAATTAAATATGAAGATTATGTCATGGCAAGAAACACTGTATGTGACATCTGTTGTCTTATGTTCTTTTTTAAAACTTAAGAATAACTTTTAACAATGGGGTTGTGTATTTCCTAGGAAATAATCTCTTTGAAACTGTAAACTTAATTATTTTGGGGGTGTCCACTGGTAGGTGGATGTCTGGAATGGGCTTCTTGGAGTCTTTAGAGAATAGAAAACAGTGATTCTTGGTTGTATATAGGATGGCACTGGCAGGTGTGGGGAGGGACTTAATGTTACATTCCACTTTCAGAGATTCTGACCTAATTGGGGGATGAGAGCACAAGATAGTGGTGTTCTAGCGTGCAGCTCTCATTGTAGGCTGTTGCCTTGGACTTCTAGAAACCTTGGTGTCGCCAGTTGTCTCATTAGCAGCATTGCTTTCTGTTTAGGAGGGGCAGTTGTTTGTGGTCCAGTTTGGCTTTGAACTTTTGGCAAGACTTGTGTCTTAGCTTCCTGAGTGCTGGGATTACAGGCAGTAGCTAGCAGCTTTCACTATGGCAGCTGGTTGTAATACCTGATTTAAAGTGAGCTTCCTTTTTTTCATGATACTTAGCATAGCCTGCTTGCCTGCCTCCTAAAAAAAATTTTTTTTGCTTGTTTCCTTACAGCCTTTCTGTCTGAATGACCTACCTTGTTATACCAGTGTCCCATGCCTAGCACAGGGCATAGACATGTAGGTGGTTGAGCAAATGTCTCCCAGTGTACTTGTTTTCTAGCATGTACTAATAATACATGGTCAATAAATGCCTACTGACAGTTTCTAAAAGCAGCCTTAAAAGCATGTTTAACATATGGAATAGTCTAATTAAAAAGCAACTTTATATTTTGGCATAAAAAGTATAGAGAAATATAAGGGAGAAAATTTTAATGTGCTCCCCTCCCAAATAAAGTCAAGACCAAGAAACTTGAAAACTTGGAATGCTGGCATTAAACTTGGAACTCAAAGCTGAGCTTCTCTCTCGTTATTTCACAAGCCCATGTTGGTGCTAATGATTTCATGTTTTCATTAGATGGGAATTTGATGGTCTTTACAAACTGGTACTGGTGAGTGAATGTTAGCTTGGTCATATTCTCTAGATATCATTGGTTAGGTAGCCAGTGGATAGAATTTAGCCATATCTTGTCCTAGAAATTCCTGTCTTGGGCCAGTAAGATGGCAGAACAGGTAAAGACACTTACTGCCAAGCCTGATGCCCCTGTGTTCAATCATTGGAGCCCACATGGGTAGAATGAGAGAGCCAACTCCCAGATGTTGTCATCTGACCTCCATATGTGGTTGTGGCGGTTGTGTACGTACGTACGTACGTACACACACACACACACACACACACACACACACAATAAAGTGTAATTCAAAAAAAATTTTTTTTTTTTTTAGACAGGGTCTCCCCTGTACTCAGCTGGCTCACTATGTAGACCAGGCTGGCTTTGAACTCACAGAGCTCCACCTGCCTCTGCCTCCTGAGTGCTGGGATTAAAGGCATGCACCACCATGCCCAGCTTAGAAATAGTTTTTAAAGGGGCTGGAGAGATAGCTCAGTGGTTAAGAGCATTGGCTGTTCTTGCAGAGGACCTGAGTTTGATTCCCAGCACCTCATAGTGGCTAACAACTGTCCTTAACTCCAGTTCCAGGGGAGCCAACAAGTTCTTCGGGCTTCTGTGGGCATTGCAGGCAAGGGTGCACTTACATAAATGAAGGCAAAACACTCAGAGAAATAAAATAAATAAGTTTTTAAAAAATGAAATTTAATGCCTGTCCTATGTTATAAATGCTTGTGATTTCATATTCTGCGAGGTTTGCCCTTAAGTGTGAATAAATGTGTCTTCATTTAATACTAAATGTATTGCTTTTTTTTCTTCTCTACCTGTAGGCTAAAGAAATCCTGACAAAAGAATCCAACGTGCAAGAGGTTCGATGTCCAGTTACTGTCTGTGGAGATGTGCACGGGCAATTTCATGATCTCATGGAACTGTTTAGAATTGGTGGCAAATCACCAGATACAAATTACTTGTTTATGGGAGATTATGTGGACAGAGGATATTATTCAGTTGAAACAGTTACCCTGCTTGTAGCTCTTAAGGTAATTCCAGTTTTATGTTTGGGTCTTTAGAATTGGGTAAGGTAAGATAGCTCTCTGGAATGTTCTTTTCCCCAATGATTTGCTGTTATCTTCATCTGGATGTTAAACTTTTAGAACAGACCTCCACATTTAGGAATGCAAGTGATACACACGTTGTACTTAAGGGTGTCTGCATTCTGAATAAGGGGTGATTCAGAACCCAGTCCCTGAAGAGTACCTCAGATGATTTGAAAAATGCTAGCAAGTGGCTCAAGTAGAAATTTTAGTCGAGTACATTGGTTATAGAAAGGTAGTAACATTGAAGTATTATTAAAGTACAAACATACCAAGTGTTAGAACATTCATATCATTTGACAATAATCCTCTGAGACTTTTGATGAGGAAGAATTTAAAGAGAAGAGGGGCTGGAGAGATGGCTCAGTGTTTAATAGCACTGGCTGCTCTTCCAGAGGACCCAGGTTTGATTCCCAGCACCCATATGGTGGCTAACAACTGTCCATTACATAAAATTTGGAAAAGAGAGCAGTTATGTGAGGAACAGTTATGTGAGGCTACTTAAGCACTATCTTTGGGGGGGGGGGCTCTTTTTGAGATAGGGTCTCTGTAGCCCCAGCTGGCCTGGAACTCACTATGTAGACCAGGCTGGTCTTGAACTCTAGAGTTCAAAGCATTATCTTTAATACTAGAAAGGACATTTTTATCTAAATATCCAAGAGTGGTTGATTATCTATATTGTAATTTATTCTGACGGAATAATTTTTGGCCTTTACGTATTACCTAATGATTAGAAATGAGATTTGATGTCTGTAATCCCAGCACTTGGAGAGTTGCTTGAGAGTTGAAGTCAGCTCAGGCAACATGTAAGCTCTCAAGGCCACCTGGCTAATATGAGATTGTGTCTTTAAAAAATAATGATTAATGTAATTAAAGGCATAGTGGCACACGCCTTTAATTACAGCACTCAGGAGTCAGAGGCAGGCTGATCTCTGTGAGTTCAAGGCCTGGTTTACATAGCTAGTTTCAGGCCACCTGGAGCTATAGGGAGACCCTGTCTCAAAAAAGACAATACTACTACTAGTGCTACTACTGCTACTACAAGTCCCACAATTTATGTATGCCAGCTGTAGCTTCGTGAAGCACAGATGAAGGCAAACAGCAAATGGCATTGATTTCAGCGTGGAACGCTACTTCTGCCTTTTGACTTTACCTTTGGGGAAGAAACTTATTTACCCGTTTCCCCATGCAACAGACTCACTTTTAGAAATAATGGCTGTCACCAACTTTTCTACTATTGGGGCAGTGAGATGTAATTTCAACAAGAGCTGAATTATATGCAGTGTTGAAAAACTTTGGAGATCGTTGTGTTCTACTTTTTTTTTTTTGTCTTTTTGAGACAGGGTCTCCCTGTAGTCCCAGCTGACCTGAACTCACTGTGTAGATCAGGCTGGCCTTGAACTCAACAAAGATTCACCTGCCTCTGCCTCCCAAGTGCTGGGACTAAAGGCGTGTGCCACCGTGCCCGGTGTGTTCTACATTTTTAAAGTGAAAAATTTGAATTAGATGGTGACCGATTTCTGCAGTGACTCTAGATGCTATGAAAGAAGCTGATGGCACAGGATCAAGTGGAAGGGACACACTGCCTCTGTTTTCATGCCACCTTCCAGATTTCCTATGCTGAACTCCTAACTCCCCGTATCTCAGGATATTTCTATATGTGGTACTAGTTCTTTTTTAAATTTTATTTATTATTTTTACCTGTATCGTGCAATGAATTCCCTGATACAGACAGTTATTAGTTGCCATGTGGGTGTTAGGATTTGAACCTTGGTCCTCTGTGAGAGCAGCAAGTGCTCTTAACTGCTGAGCCAGCTGTGCAGCTCCATGGTACTAGTTCTTTACTTGGGTAACTAAGTAAAATGAAGTCCTATAGGTAAGTGAGTAGTGTCCCTATCAAAAGAGATTAGGGAGCTGGGGGTGGTGGTAAGATGTGTTCGGTTGAAGGATCTGATTTCCATCTCCAGAATCCATGTTTTTAAAAAAATGCCATAGCTGGGTATGGTGGCCTGTAGTCCCAGCACTTGGGAGGCAGAGGCAGGCAGATCTCTGTGAGTTCAAGGCCAGCCTGGTCTACATAGTGAGTTCCAGGACAGCTGGGACTACAGGGAGACCCTGCTTCAAAAAGACAAAAAAAAAAAAAAAAAAAATTCCAGGCATGGTGGGATGATTTTTACCTTTGGGGGAGAAATTTATTTATCCCTTTGTAGTTCTCTTTGTAATCCCAGCACTGGAGCCTAGTTAGGCCCAAAGCAATGAAAGACTAACTCAAAGGAGGTAGATGTCTATTTCTGAGGATGACTGCTAAGGTTATCCTCTGGTCTCCTACAGGTGTACAAACGTACACACACACCACACCGTCCCCTCAAACCCCACACCTAGAAAAGAGAGTGATTAGGGAATAGAGGGAAGACACATGGAGAAAATCACTTGTCCATAATCAGGGGGAGAGGCCTTCAGAAGATAGCAGCTCTGCTGACATCTTAGACTTCTTTTCTACCTCCAGAACTGTGAGGAAATGCATTTCTGTAGTTTAAGCACCTGCTCCTAGACATTGTTGTGGCAACCCTTAGTAAATGATTGCTGGGGAAAGATGGTCATCAGCAAGTTGTGTCAGAACAGATGTATCAGAATGGATTGCTCACTTAAATTCAATAGCAAAAGCTGTAAGGCTGTAGGAGACAACATTTGTGATCTTGGGTAGGTGCAACTTTCTCAGCTAGGTTAATAGGAACTTTCTCACCCAGGTTAATAGGAACGATGGTGCAGGGACTGGGGATGTGGCTCAGTTGGTACAGTGCTTGCCTAAGGCAAAATGGTGTGTGTCTGCAATCCCAGCATTCTAGAGGTAGAGGCAGGTGTTAAAGGCCAGCCTGGGCTCCTTGAAACCCTGTCTTAAAAACATAAGACCAGGCATGGTAGCACATTTCTAATTTCAACACTCTGGAAGCAGAGACTGGTGGATCTCTCTGAATTTAAGGCCAGCCTGGTCTACATAACAAGCTCCAGGCCAGTCTTACAGCTATACAGTAAGACCCTGTGTCCAACAAAACAAAACACTTGATTCATGAAATCAGGGGAATTCAGTTTGTCAAAATTAGCGGTTTTGTTGTTCTTAAAAATAGAATGGGGGCCGAGTGTGGTAGCGCACGCCTATAATCCCAGCACCTGGGAGGCAGAGGCAGGCGGATCTCTGTGAGTTCAAGGCCAGTCTGGTCTACATAGTGAGTTCCAGGACAGCTAGGGCTTCAGGGAGACCCTGTCTCAAAAAGACCAAAGGAAAAAAAATAGATACATACATATATGTGTGTGTGTATGTATATGTATATGTATATGTAAAATGGGGGCAAGCCAGGCGTGGTGGTGCATGCCTTTAATCTCAGAACTTGGGAGCAGAGTCAGGCGGACCTCTGAGTTCCAGGCCAGCTGGAGCTACAGACAGACCCTGTCTCAAAAACACCCCCCCATACACACACACGCACACGCACACACACACACACACACCCCTACCCCTTATGGGGGCTGGAGATGGGTCAGTGGTTAAGAGAACAGGCTTCTCTTGCAGAGGACCCCGGTTTGTCCCAGCACCCACATGGCAGCTAACAACTGTCCATAACACAATGGCCTCCCTTGGCATTTCATGACATGGATGCACTTGCATGCAGGGAAAACATTCATACACATAAAATAAATATAAAAAGTTATGAAGAAAAATTGGTTAAATTTTTAAATTTTGGGGCTGGAGAGATGGCTCAGTGGTTAAGACTACTGACTATACACGCATACAAAATAAAAAATAAGCAAGTAATAGATATTAAATATATAATTTTTTAAAATTTTTATTTTCTGTGTATGAGTGTATTACCTGCATGTATGTAAATACACCCATGTTGTGAAATTCCAGAGATCAGAAGAGGGCATCAGATTCCCCTAGAACTGGAGTTAAGGACGGTTCCTAGCCATCATGTGGGTGCTGGGAATTGAACCTGGGTCCTCTGTAAGAACAACCAGTGTTTTTAACCGCTGAGCCATCTCTCCAGCCCCCTCCTTTTTGTTTTGTTTTTTTAAATTTCTCAGTGCTGGGGATTGAACTTGGCATTTCACATACCAACCACAGGTTCTATCACTGACCTATATCTTTACTCTGAAGTTCTTAAAAAAAAACAACAACTTTTTTTGTGGGGGGACAGGGTCTCACTATGTAGCTCTGGCTAGTCTGGGGTCTCTAGACCAGGCTGAACCCAAAATCACAGTGATCTGCCTGCCTCTGTCTCTGTAGTACTGTGATTAAAAAACATGTACTACCAAGCCCAGCTTCTAAAAATTATTTCATTATTCTGTGGGTACAAGCGTGCTGCAGAGCATGTATGGAAGTCAGAGAGTAATTGGAGTTTGTTTTCTTCTTTCACCATTTGGGTCCTGGGGATTGTAGAGTTGTCAGTCTTGGTGGCATTTACTGGCTGAGTCATCCTACCAATCTGCAAATATCTTTTGTTTTTAAGCTTTTTGTTTCGTTTTGTTTTGTGACAGGGTCTCCCTTACCCCAGCTGGCCTGAAACTCATTGTGTAGACCAGGCTGGCCTTGCACTCACAGAGATCCATCTGCTTCTGCTCCCAAATGCTGGGATTAAAGGCATGAGCCACAAGGCTCAGTCCTTTTTAAACCTTTTAAGACGGGTGATATGTGTATATATACATGTGCATATACATATGTATGGTCTCCAGCCCAGACTGCCTCTGGTTTGCAGCAGTCTTCTTGCCTCAGTCTCCCAGTGCTGTGCTGCCATGTTTTGCTACAAGGCAGACTTCTTAAGACAGTGTCTCATGTAACCTGAAACTGACCTCAAACTCTAGATCCTGCTGAACTGCCACTCCATATGCTGGGATTATAGGCATGGACCACGGTGCCTGAAGATCTTTATTTATTTATTTGGGGGGTCATCTTTTTGAGACAGGGTCTCCCTGTAGCCTCAGCTAGCTTGGAGCCGGCTGGCTGGCCTTGACCTCACAGAGGTTCACCTGCCTCTCCCTCCTGAGTGCTGGGATCAAAAGTGTGCGCCACTATGCCTGGCTAAGACAGATATATTTTAAGTGGACAAAATATTTATATAGATATTTTATCCTAGAAGATAGGTAGTTAGTAAGAACAAGTGTTTAACATCATTTAGTCATTAGGGGAATGAAAATTAAAGTCCTATGAGATGATAGCTGCTTTCTATCTGTTGCTACAGTGGCTATTAATCGATTAGGATGATAATGCCCAATGCAGATGAATATGCCAGGAGATAGAAACTTCCTATCCTGTCAAGAATGTGAACTAGTCCAGCCACTTTGAAGAAGTTTGGTAATTTCTCAGGAAGTTAGACGTACACCTACCATATGACCCAACAGCTACTTTAGGAATCTCTTCAAGAGAAATGACAGCATGTATCTGAACAACTTGCACAAATGACCTCAGTAACTAACAATGAAGTAGTGGGCAGAAAACATGGAAACGGGAGCTGGTCCTGCTGTGAGTATGGAAGCAGAATGTGGTGTAGACAAATGGTGAAATGGTGTGTACTGTAAAAGGAATAAACCACTGATCTGTGCTACAGCATGGATGAGCTTCAAACATACTCCCAAGCAATACGTAGCAGGAGACTTGTATTTTTCCATTTATATTAAATTTCTTAGGAAAGGTATTCTCAAGAGACAAAAGTCAGTAGTTTCTAGGAGCCAGGAGAACTGGAGTGGAGAGGGGCTGTGGACACGAGTAAGGGATGTGTTGGGAGTGAGACAAGGCTTGTCTAGGTTGTAATGATTATTGCATAGCTATAAATTTAGTAAGAATCATTGATCTGGAAAAAATTCATTTGATTAAACTTGACATAATGGGAGGCAGAGGCGGGTGGATCTATGTGAGTTCAAGGCCTCCCTGGTCTACATAGTGAGTTCCATCAGGACAGCTGGGGCTACAGGGAGACCCTGCTTCAAAGAGACAAAAAAAATATTTTAGAGTGTTTGATAGTATTCAGTGTTTAAGTCTTCCACTATGTTAGTTTTGTTTCTAAGTATGTTCC